CACTGTCCTGGATTTGTTTTCTTTCCGCATCTCATCATTAGCCTGGCTGATCACCTGATAACTCCTGTCATCTGGTTGTGACAGCATGAGGATGTCCTCACACACCTGTAACCTATCAGCTCATCTGGCAGAATAGAGAGAGAAGAGACAACACCACATCTCCTGTTCCTGGAAAGCCTTTAGCCATCCTTCGATGACTGAGAACCTCCATCAGCTCTGTCTCCTGTCTGCCTACAATTATTATAATATTGTTTGACAAGTTTTTTGTGCTGCCAAATATCTCATTTAGTTTCCAGTTTTGATATTTTAATGGATATTTATAAATTACATTGATTATCACATTTTTGTTGCATGTTTAACTAGCTCTATTGTGATGAATTAAACTAGCACCTCACTGTTAAAATCTCGTTTTAATTTCAAGCATGTTTAAGTATTTATGGACATGAACAAAAACAGGAAATATATAAATTGAGATTTATTTAATTAATATAACAAATAAGGGGGAAAGAGTCACTGAAAGGCACATTCTTCTGGAAGCTCCTGATCCTGACGACACCAGCAGGAGACCAGCTGCAGACACCAGAGGACACCTGTCACAATTTGGTGTAGTAGGATGTTTAGGACCCAAAATGCAGAAAACCAGATGAACCAGGCAGGAGGTAGATGATGAAAATAAATCCTTTATTTGGGAGTAGTCCAAAGGCAGGGAGCCAAAACCCAAAAATCTTAACTGAGCAATAAAAACACTAGAGGACTAGAGACACTGGAACGCTAGATGCTAGGAACAGGAACAAGCCTGACAAGAACAACAAACAAACATTAATGGACCGACAAGAACACAGAGACAGACAGGGCTTAAATACACTGGGAGGAGCAATCAGGGAAACAAGAAGCAGGTGTGTGGGGTGAGCTGCTGGAGGGAAGGCAGGTGACACTAATCAACTCAATGGGGAAAACAGAAACAGAGGATGGCAAATACCTTAACACAAAACTAAACAACAATTTCCTAAAGACAGAGGGAAGGACTCACACAAACTAGCTGGAGGAGGACATAGTACATACACACACTGAGCTGGGGACAACGAGGCTGGAGCTGACCTGGGAGGAAACAGCAAAAAAGATAACATCAGACACTAAACTGACACACAGAAAAAGGACACAAGAGGGCGCCAAAGGGCTACAACATAAGACACATAACAGGTATGCAGACAAGGACACATGAGGGCGCTAAGAGAGCACAAGGGGAGAACCTGGAGTGGAGCACAAGAGGAGCTGGGGAACAAAGGGACACAAGAGGAAATCTAGAGAGGGATGGAGGACACCAGGAGGCACATAAAGGAAGGGGGCTGACGCAGACCATGACAACACCTACAACCAAAAGAGCAGCTAGTATCAGTAAATAATGAAATCAGGGCAGTTTTAGTGGGCTGAACACATTACAGAATAATTTTCTCATGGGGTATTTTCATAACTTTCTATGCAGCAGACTGTAACTTAAGCCCAGGGCTCCTGGAGAGCTGCAATCCAGCACGTTTCAGTGGATTTCCTGCTTTAACAGGTCAGATTAGCTGTTAAGCAGCTCAGCTATTTGTTGCTGATTAAAACCAGGTGTGTTGAAGCAGATAAACCTCTAAAACATGCTGAATTCTAGCTCTCTAGGGCCGTGGAGCCAAACCCTGCAGCTAATCCAATGCTATGGCTAACGGCTACTTACCATTCAGAGCTGGTTCTGTTGGGTCGGTTCCGGTAATTTCAGGCAACTCACAAGCTCAAAACAATAAGGCTCAGGTCCGCTTGTCTCCTCCAAATAGACTTTGTCCCTTTCTTCTCGAGTGTCTGGGTAAGGAGGGGGAGAAACGTCCTCCACTTCTAATAACTGCTCAGAGTGAAGGGAGCTAGCATCGTCTAGTTAGCCATCGTCTTATTCACTGCCGCGGCTCCGCCCTCTCGGTCCTGCAGGCAACGCCTACTAATGTTGCAGTTTTTAAAATTGATACATGGGTGGAGTAAGACTCTGAGGGGGGCATTACCACTTCTTTAAAGAAAGACACTCTAAGAGAGGAAGCATTAGCAGTATGTTTGCTCAAAGCTCGAATTTACTGGACTGAGGATTATTAGCTTCCTACAATATCTCGTTGCTAATAGCTAAAAGTGGGCTCCCGTTCACAGTTGGGGAAACGGTAGTGCTACCAGCAGTAAAAGAGGCTGTCTCTACAGTCATGGAACAGGACTCGTCAGCAGTGGTAAACGCAATTCCACTTAGCAATGACACTGTGGCGCGAAGGATAAAATAAATGTCAGTTGATACTGAGGAGCAGCTCAGATGATCTGTCACCTTTGGTCTTCAGCATTCAGCTGGATGAGACCACAACAGGGGACAACAACTCTTTGTTAATGGCTTATGTACGTTATCTATCAGACTGTGGAGTGGCCGAGGAGTTTTTGTTTGGAAAATGTCTCATAACTGACACACGAGGGCAGACTATTTTCAGCGTGCTGGAAGAATATTTTCAGGAGAAGTCTATACCTTTCAGCAACCTTCTTGCTTGTGCCACAGATGGTGCTCCCGCCATGGTGGGCAGGTACAGAGGCTACATTGCTCTGCTGAAAGAGCGCGCCAGACATTCTTACTCACTGTATTCTTCACCGTCACAACCTGGCAGTGTTGGGCAAGTTACTTCAAAACTGTAATGCATTATTTATTACTTGTTACCCTCATTTTAAAGTAATTCATTACATTACAATATTACTGATTTTAAAATGTAAGGCATTACACTACTTTTGCATTACTCTAAGTTACTTTCAACAAAACAACTTCAGTATGAGTTTGGTAATCTGATGCCTGGTGAACTCATGACACATCCGGTGGAAGGTGATGTGGTGTCTGAGCTAGGATTGCTGTTCTTTAGAAGGATTGTTTATGTAATAAATGCAACAACAAACTGTACTCTCAGCACGCCGCCATCTTAGATTAACTGAGTGGCGAGTGAGGTGGTGGGGGCTCCAAGTCTATTTGTCTTGGTCCCCAAATGCCTTGATACGGCCCTGGATGTGGGACTGACTTCTGGGGTGATCTGATTCTATCACATGTATAAATATTAAATGCTTATATATTATTGCTTTTCACTGGTAAAAATGAGTATTGGGGATAAATCTACCTACATTTTTTCTTTTCAAGCACTTTGTTTTGTTTTCTTGATTTTATTTGAATAATTTCCTGCCCTTTCTCTCTCTAACCGTCCTGCATGCTGCATGTTCTCTCCGTCTTCCAGAAAACCCGTTTCCTAGATTTCCTACTTTCTAACTAATCAGCCAAAGGGATCTTCACATGTGCAGCGCTCCAGCAGTAATGAGTTGAAATCACCGGAGCCAAGATTAACTCAGCTGAGGCAAAGCACGTCAGAAAAGTACAGAATACCAGAGAACATGCGCTGATATGAACGATCGCAGGTGAATTATTTTGTTTTAGTGGAGCGATTTTGTGAATGTTACAGCGGCCGCGTGGAGGACGCAGCTGGAGTATTTGAGTTGAGCCGGTACCGCTACGTCCTCTCTGCCTGCAAAGCTGAGTCCGTAAATGACGTAATATATGCAGATAACGGATCTTTTTTCGGGTTTCCCGCAATTTGAATTTTTAAAAAAAGCATCTTGATTCTGGGTTTAAAAACGCATTGTAATTACCGCGTTACTGACAATTGTACCGAGTAAATATTACCATTTTCTTTCCCTGTAATGCCTTACATTACCACATTACTTCAAAAAGCAATGCATTACAGTAATTAATTACTTTTGTACAGCGTTACTCCCAACACTGCAACCTGGTGGCTAAAAACATCAGCCCTCAACTTCACAAGTCGCTGGATATTGCAGTTAAGTCTATTAACAAAATCAAAGCCCACGCGCTAAATGACCAGCTCTGTTTCATCTTGTTCTCACTATAAATTCCACAAGATGCTCAGTTGACTTTTCCTCGTCCGAGGCAAACCTTTATTGAACACTTAATCAGACATGTGTGTCTATCTCTCACCCTTCGGTGTTACACTCTCTAGACTCCGGGCGGAACACACGGTTAAGAGCAATTCTCATTGCTACATCCCTTTTCTTTTACAAAGACACTGAACTTTTCATTCGTTGAGAACTCCGTATGCATCTGGCACAAAACTTAGACATGACATTTCTTTGTTGGACCCAATTTCCCCCCAGAAGTAAAAATTTGTATTTACTTTTTTTTTTCCTCCCCACTAGTAAACAGATCACAAAGCCCTACCTCCAAATATTATCACAGAGGCGTTGTTCTGTTCTCTAACCAGTACACAAATCTCCACATATAACTCAACATCATTCCACTTTTTTTTTAACAAATCTCAACATATAAGTCAACATATCATTCTATTTTTTTTAAGAAATCTCAACATAACTCGTATAATACCTTAATTGCATACATAGTCCTTCAGATATCCGGGTTGTTGTACCACCCGTCCTGACCTGGTAGTGCTGATTTGTATGTTCCCCTCGTTCTGTGTCAGCCCAGTAAGGTTCTGTCCCTCTGGATGGGGATGTGCTGACATGTCTTTTCTGACCTCCGCAGCTTGCCTCAGATGGCGACGATTCCTTCTGAGGACTCTGCCATTGTCCAACTCCACATCATAGGATCTGTTTCCCCGAGTGTTACACACTCTAGCCTTGGACCATAAGGTGTGTTGTTCAAAAGGTTGGACTCTCACCACGTCCCCTGGGTTTAATGTGTCCATGTCCTTTGCCGTCCTGTTGTAGTACTTTATTTGTCTCTCTGTGTTCATCCTCAGTGCCAACCTGTCATCAGTCACTTTGGGTTGGAACAATCTGTCTCCTATTGGTAGGAGTGTCCTCGTCCTCCTGCTTAACAGTCTCTGTGCCGGGCTGGTAGTCAAACCTTGTGTTGGGGTGTTTCTGTGGTCCAATAAGGCCAAATATGGATCCTGTCCAGCCAATTTTGCCTTTTTCATGAGTCGTTTGGCAGTTTAAACCGCAGACTCCGCTTTGCCATTACTCTGCGGATAGCCCGGGGATGAGGTATGGTGTTGAAATTCCCATTTCCGGCTGAAGTTGGCAAACTCTGTCGAGATGTACTGGGGCCCGTTGTCAGAAAACACAATATTTGGGATTCCCTGATGTGCGAAATGAGCCTTTAGTTTCCTAATCACAGTACTCGACTTGGTATCTGGTAGATAATCTATCTCCCAAAAGTTGGAGTAATAATCAACTGTTATTAGGTAGTCCCTATCCTCAAAGCTGAATAAATCTGTCCCAACTTTGGTCCATGGTCTGGTAGTCGGCTCGTGTGGCTTTAGTGTCTCTTTCTGTTGTCTTGCATCCACAGACTGACATATGTCACATGTAGCTATGTACTTTTTGATGTGGTCATTCATACCGTGACAGTAGACGCAGTCTCTAGCTCTCCTGAGGCACCCTTCTGTTCCGATGTGTGTTGAGTGAATTTGCTGTGTTATATCTGCCTGGAGTGCTTGTGGAATCACCACTCTCTCTCCCTTGAAGACCAATCCATCCTGTGTGCTCAGTTCATCCTGCAACGATTGGAACTGGGTTATTCCCACAGGTACCTCTTTTTTACAGACCGGCCACCCCTTTTGTATTGTCTTTATTAGCGTTTGTAATGTGCTGTCAGTTCTTGTCCCTGCCCGTATTCTGTCCATGCTTTCTGTTGAAACAGGAACATAATCCACCATGTTGACACATTCTGTCTCCAACTCTGTCTGGCTTTTGATGCTGTCCTGCAGGTAGGCTCTACTCAGCGTATCAGCGAGTAGCATCTCGCGGCCTGGAACATATGTTATGGTTATATCATATTTTTGCAGCCTCAATAACATCCTTTGCAGTCTCTTAGGTGCATGTAACAGTGGCTTTTTAATAATGCTCTCGAGTGGCTTGTGGTCTGATTGCACACTCACAAGGCGACCATATGTATATTGGTGGAATTTCTCCATCCCAAACACAATAGCCAAACATTCCTTCTCAATTTGTGCATAGCCTCTCTCAGTGAGCGTCAGTGCACGACTTGCAAATGCCACTGGTTTTCCCTGTTGAGTCAGGGCTGCTCCCAGCCCCATCTCGCTGGCATCACACTGCAGCGTTAGCTCTTCTTCAGGGCTGTAATATTTCAGAACTGGGACTTGTGTTAGTTTTTCTTTTCGTCTTTTAAATGCTTCCTCCTGCACGTCTGTCCACTCCCATAGGCTGTCTCTGTGCGTCAGTTGTCTGAGAGGCTCACAGTCGTCTGACAGATGCTTGTAGAACTTGGATAGATAGTTGATCATTCCAACTAGTCTCTGCACCCCTTTTATGTCAGTTGGTGCTGGCATCTCTGTGATGGCCCGTACCTTCTCTGGGTCTGCTCTCAGGCCCTCGGCTGTGAGTAGATGCCCGATGTATGGTACTTCCTGTCTTCTAAGCTTCAGCTTTTCCACATTCAATTTGATGTTCCTCTCTCTGCAGCATTCCAGGAAAAGTCTCAGGTTTCTGTCATAATCCATTTCTGCCAGTTCCATTGTCTCCCCCTTTCCAGTGATCAGGATGTCATCCGCAATGATGTATGTGCCTGGCAGGTTCTCTAACGCTTGCATCAGTTTGCGCTGAAAGACCTCCGGCGCTGGGCTGATCCCCATCGGCATTCTCAGCCACCGAAAGCGACCAAATGGTGTTGCGAATGTCGTGAGATGGCTTGACTCTTCTGTAAGCTTTACATGCCAAAAGCCATGTTTCACGTCACACACTGTGAAAACTTTCGCTTTTGACACATCTGGCAAGATGTCATCTATTGTTGGTAATGGGAAATGACTACGCTTCAGAGCTTTATTGAGCGGTCTCGGGTCAATACATATCCTGGGTTTGCCATTTGGTTTCTGCACTGTCACCATCCCGCTGATCCACTCAGTACTGCATTCCACTGGTGCAATTATTTGTCTGTCTGCAAGACTCCTCAGTTCCTCTTTCAGTGGTTTCATCATCGACACTGGGACTCTTCGTTTTGGCAGTTTGACGGGCTGCACTGTTGTGTCGATTTCCAGCTTGTATTCCCCTTGTAAACATCCATCTCCTGTAAACACATCCTGAAACTCAGTCTTTATCTCTTCCAACAACCATGTGTTTTTCTCTGATGGAGCTGTTGTCACTGAGCCGTCCAACGCCCAGATGTTATCATACTTAACTTGTATTAGCTTCATCGCTTCACTAGCTGTTCTCCCAAGTAGAGGCGTTTTACAATCCTCCTCTACCACTTGGAACTCGACTCTGTACTTTTTGTTGTTTCTTGGGTTTGTCAGCTTGACCTTACACTTTCCTAATGGGCACAGCCTTGACTTATTGTACATCACAAGAACCTTGTCTGTGTGCTCCATTTTGACATTCTGGTTCAACATGTTGATGGGAATAACGTTGCATGTTGCTCCACAGTCAACTTGAAACTTGACCAGGCTGTCAACAATCATCATGCCTGCAAACAGCTGCTCTCGTTTCTTTCTGTCTGATTCTTTGATCTGGTTCACTTCTACTGCAGTCTGTGTCAGAGCTGTGACAGTCATTATGTCCTCACAGGAATCTGAGTCCTGCTCCATCACTGTGTGCACTTTTTTCCCATTTTCTCTCTGGCTGCTTTTACTCCTGCATGCTATAGCAAAATGGTTCTCTTTGCCACATTTTTTGCATTTTTTTCCATATGCTGGGCATTTTGATTTGAGTCTTTCATGTGCTCTTCCACAAAATCTGCATGATCTCTTTATCTAGTCTTTTTCCCTCTTTTTGTTTTACTGCATGCAGTTCTTCCTCAGCCTGTCCCGCTATTGTTTTGTTGTATTCTCTTGAAATCTCCATTTCTCTACAAATATCTAGACATCTGTCTAATGTGAGGTTCTCCTCTGAGCAACCTTTCCCTCCAGCTGGAGCTGTTTGTGCCACAGACGATCCTGTCTCTAATCAGTGAGTCTTTTAATTGTCCAAAGTTGCAGGTGCTCGCCAGCATCCTCAGGTCTGTAACATATTTATCAATATTCTCTCCAGGAGCCTGATTGCGTGCAAAAAATCTGTATCTCTCCACAGTCTCATTAACTTTGGGATTGCAGTGTTCATCTATTTTTCTCATCAGCTCACTTACTGTCACTCTTGCCTCAGCTCCGATCAGCGTGCCACAGAGCTCTCTGCCCCGTTCCCCGATCAGATAGTAAAACAGCTTCACTCTCGCCTTTTCCTCAGCATCCGGCAGAGCTAGTTCCGTGTAGAGTGTAAACTCTTCTTTCCATGTTTTCCACGCCTTAGACAGGTTCACTGCATCCATGCTCCACTGTGCAGGTGGCTTTAATCCATCCATCGTAGCCGCCGCTGCACGCTGCTCGTCAGCGTCTCACCTGCTGTCCCGAGCCGTTAGCACCTCCGAGGCTAATTAGCCTAGCTGGACACGTCGGTACCGTCCACTCAATCTTTCTTCATCCGAGCGCGGTGTGGATCTCTCTAGACCCCGCTGCCACCATGTTTCATCTTGTTCTCTCTATAATAGGGCTGCAACAAACGATTATTTGGATAATCGATTAATCGGATGGGGTCTCGACACGATTAATCGATTAATCGGATTACATGGGGAAATTTTTAAAAACTGCTAGGGAAACGTTATTTCTCTCCTTCCTTCACTTTATTTAACACAACATTATTAGAAAACACTTCAATAGCAGAAAAACAACATGTCATCACCTAAATTGTCTTATAAGGTGTATAGACAGAGACCCTAAGCTACATCTATCTGTGACCTAAAATGCTTGGTCCAAGTTAAACAGCTTAAGGGCAATTCTCATCTGTTTTGTTTGATCTCATCTGTTAACATTTATTTTAAATGTAATTAAACATAGGCTGTGAATTAATCAAAATTGATCACTATTTCCAAAACTGACTGAAAAAATACCAAATAAAACAAAAGTAAATGAATGCCATCCTCCTTGCGATGATGCCCTGGGCAACTGCCATAAAGTCACATCAAGAAATGCTGCTGATCATTCAAATGATCCCAAATAGACTCACATTAGGCCACATGAAAGCAACTGAACCCAAAAATATATTAACCAGTATATAACTGCACTCTCACACAACACGCCTGCAGCAACAGTTAGGACTCCTCCCTCCCTTTTAAAAGCGTTTTTGCTTCTGAGGACATTGTGGTTGTAAAACCACATGCTAGTAGTCTGGCCCCGGTGTGATCAACCAGTTTCTGCGGGAATGTGACGGCGGAACCAGGGCCAGATTAACACTTTGTTGTACCCTGGGCAACAATATTCAAGGGCTCCATCATCACGACCCAAGGATCACCATAATGTGGTCACATACAGAATATTTTACTGTGATATGCAGTAAATATACTCAATACTTGAATGCCTGACAACACGTAACCCGCCCAGAGTAACCTTTGACCCACCTCGTGTGGACTGACCAATGAGGAGAGGGTCTTAACTTGAGGCCCTCTCTTCATTGGTCAGTCTGCATGAGACTGACTCTCAACTGACGTCCAGTCGTAGGCAGCGAAGCGTCTCTGTGCAGTGCAAAAGCCCGGGTGGACAGTTTGTTTAATGTAGGGTGACCATATTTCCATTTCCAAACAAGAGGACAGGGGATCTGTGCCTATGACGTCACACTATGGCAACGCCACACAAACCATGTTGGGACCCATTTTTTGTAAGAACTAAATTAATATCAGATTCTGCCAATTAAAGGGCTCTAAAACAATTCATATGTAAATATTTTGCATATTTAATGCAAAATCTAATTTTTCTGCTTTAGTGCTGCAACAAGGTTTTATTAATAATAAATTATTATACCTTTTGTTTTACTACAGCATCGGTAAGCTTCCTGTGCACAGATGATTAAGGATGCTTGTTTCAGCTGTGAGATTAGACGATAGGATCAATGAAAAAATAAGTTGTCACACACTCCATGGAAACTTTCAGAGAATCCACAAATAGTGGCTTTCAAATGGTTTTGTTACTTTTAGCAGGTTTAGAAAAGCAGCAGATGAGACAGCATGTCTGATAATTTAGTTTTTCATCTGATAATATTAGAACATGTCAGTAATGTCTGAGGGGCTTTTATAAACACCATATAACTAACACTACTGGTGAGGGCATGAATTACACAGAGGCTTCTGGGGAGCCCAGTTATTGGGGGGGGTGGGGGGGCATTTTGCCTTGGCCCCCAAAATGTCTTGAAACGGCCCTGGGTGTGTGACTGAGTTTTGAAGGTGATCTGAATTGTATCAGATGTATAAATATGACATGTGTATAACTTATTGTTTTTTACTGGTAAAAACGTGTCGTGGAGATAAATCTACCTACATTTGACTTTTCAACACTTTGTTTTGTTTTCTTGTTTTTATTTAACTATTTTCCTGTCCTGTCTGTCTCTCATCTTCCTGCATCTCCTCTTAATTCTCCAGAAAATCTGTTGCCTGGATTCTTACCTTTTCACCTCATCAGTTACTTTTGAGCAGATCAAAGGGATCTCCTGACCGAAAAGCGCAGAGCGCGTTTTCGATGCTGCGTGAGGTGACATCACCACAGCAGAGGTGATGAGCTCCACAGTAGCGAGCTTCAGGCACAAATAAGACAGAAAATAGAGAATATGTGCGGACATGAACGATCGTGTGCTAATTATAGTTTTTTGGTTGCGCCACTTTGAGAATGGACCGTGCGCTGGAAGCAGCTGCCTGGATCGCTGCGCGACAATGCGGAACCGGTTCGCCGCAGCGCAAGTCTGCCGGCTCTCCATCGCGCTGATCTGCCGGTACCGGCTCTCCCTCACGCTGATCTGCGGCTCTCCCTCGCGCTGATCTGCCGGCTCTCCCTCGCGCTGATCTGCCGGTACCGGCTCTCCCTCACGCTGATCTGCGGCTCTCCCTCGCGCTGATCTGACTTGCTCTGGTCTGCGCGCAACGGCGGGCAGGAAGGGGGGGGGGGGGGGGGGGGGGGGGGCGCTTTTGGAAGAGTTGTGCGACACAACGAATCGATGACGCAATTCGTTGCCAACGCTTTTAGTAATCGATTTTCATCGAATTTATCGATTCGTTGTTGCAGCCCTACTCCATAAATTCCACAAGATGCTCAGTTGACTTTTCCTCGTCTGAGGCAAACCTTTATTGAACACTTAATCAGACATGTGTGTCTATCTCTCACCCTTCGGTGTTACACTCTCTAGACTCCGGGCAGAACACACGGATAAGAGCAATTCTCATTGCTACAAGCTCTTCAGACAGCTGTGCAGTGAAAATGATGAGATGTTTGAGCACTTGCTGCTGCACGCGGAGGTTCGCTGGCTGTCCAGAGGAAACTGCCTGTCTAGTCTTTGTGAGCTCTTTGCCACAGTTTGAGTTTCTTGGGACCAAAGATGTAGATCTCAGGAATAACTTGTTTTCCAGCCAATGTGACATTTTCTACCTTGCTGACCCTTTCAAAAAAATGAACGAGGTGACCCTCAAGCTCCAGGGAAATGGGGTGACACTGGTCCACTCTAAAACCACCATCTGCAGTTTTCTTGTCAAGATGGACCTGTACAGAGAGACTGTAGGCCGCCGGCATTTAACCACTTCCCTCGTCTGGCCACGGTATTATTCTAATATTCTATTATTATTCTGTTGTATTATTATTTTCTGCCTTAAATTAAATCTTTTTGCTATTCTTTGTATGTGCTTTCAGGTGTCAAGCAAGTTGACTGATGAGGAACTGCTGTGTTACACCGAGCACTTACGGATGATCAAAGCTGACATGGAGCTCCGCTTCAGGGACCTTCAGAACCAGCAAGTACCTGACTGGATTCTGGAGCCTTTTCAGGTGGATGTATTTGAAAAGGAACCCATAATCCAGGAGCATCTCATTGACTTACAAAATGATAAGTAGGCACAAGCTACATTTCGCACATCTGGCTGGCAAGTGATGTGGACTGTGCATGGCCACCGTTTTCCTACATTGTGGGAAAAAGCCCAGCTTCTGCTCCTAGCTTTTCCCACTTCTTATCTTGTTGAGCAGGGATTCAGCCAGGTACTGTACATGCAATCAAAATACCGAAACCGGCTAAATCTGATAGCCTCAGGTGCACTCCGGCTCAAGTTAACATCTCTCAATCCATCCACAAAAACACTTGCAGCAAATCACCAGGGACAAGGGTCTCACTAATCTACCCACAGCGATGATGACTCTGCTTAAGCAATTTTTTATGATCCTTTATTTTATGACTTATTTGTATTAAACAGTTTCAAAGTCTAGGCTGAATTGTTATTATTTTTTTGTAATCATGATTTTTGTATCAAAAAACTTTCTATTTCTCTGCATTGGTGGGCAGTAAGGCATTTCAGCATGACTTAGGGGGGCTTTTAGCTAAAAAAGGTTGAGAAACCTTGGACTAATAGATATATGGAGACTGTTTAACCCAAATACAAAGGATTTCACCTTCATTTCACATTGTCATAAAACAATTTCAAGGATATATTTTTTCTTACTTAGCAATTCCCTGGTAGAGAAAATAACAAATTGCAACATACAACCAATATCTATTACAGATCATGCACCTGTGGAACTACTGTTTTTGG